TTCCATTTTCCAAGGTGAACTAAACTTGCAGTTAGATCTTTTTTCCAATGCTTGTGGCAGGACAACAACCTCCACTTCACCTGTTTATCTTAGGAATCAAAGGCCATATCATGAGGAACACACAATTCTGTCCTCTGACAGCAGTGGTTCCCAACCTGTGGTCCGTGAACTATCAGTGGTCTGCAAGAACTAAAATATGGTCCGTGGCCTCACCATTACTACACCATTGCAATAAGAGAGACTGGTCTTGCGAAACCCTTTTATAGTCCTAAGGCTTATTAAATATGGTTTCTGTGGTCAAGCAGATGGCAACTACTGGATGGCATATGTTCTGTATCTGATACTAGAGCTGGTGTGGTCTATCCAATGCAATTTTCTGAATCAGCACCCCAAATAATGAAATAAAATCTAAAGTTGACCAAAAACTGGTTTTCAACCCTTTTGGTACTAATGAAAGAGTGGTCCATGGTCAAAAATGGTTACAAAGAAGAAAGAGGCAGGGTGATGCTGCTGCCTCTTCCACGCTACATGCCTTCTGTCATCTGAGGTAACCGCCTCACTAGCTCCGAGAACATGGACTTTCTTCATAAAGTGGGCCCTCAAAGAATATTTACTCCTTCCACCATTTGTATGCTGTCCTTCCACCAAGGACTTCTGGATGACTCACAGAGGATTATTCTATTTTATCCTCTATCTGCCTTGTTATGAGCCTGTGTTATCTAACACACTTTCCAACACACTCACATTCCGGTCTCAGTGATTCAGTGCAAACCGTAGTAATGGTATAAGCACATAAGCTGAGGGAGGAAGTATATGAACCTGTGAGGTAGAGGAACAGTCATTTGGATCCACAAGACACCAATGACGGCCATAGAAATCCGTACTCTAGACCCCACAAACCAAATCCCAGGATAGTGTATATATCTCATGTTAGTTCTTGCCAAGCAATAGGATTAAGACTCAGCTCTGCATACCCATTTCACATATGAAAACTTAGACATGCTTGGCTGAGCAGCATCAGATGTGGTCAAGAGGGCCAAAATTGCTAATGAGAAAGAGCGTAAGAACTTAGGAGAGGCTCTAGAAATTTGTCTAGTAGGAAGGGCAAGTTTTGGCCTCTTTTTCTCCTCTTCCTATTTAATAATACTTTGCCAAATATTTTGAACTCTGAACTCAGTTTGCAGCCAATGAAGAAATCTGAGGTCAAAGGAAGAAGTGAGATGAAGAGAGAGCACATTTTAAAGGCAGCTGAAAAAATGGGAGGACAGGATTAATTGGTCCTATCCTTGCCAAATGAGGAGAGATGGAGGAATACATTTTCCCACTGCAGCTGTATAAAAGCCAATCAAATGGGTTGTTGTAGGTTTTTCAGGCTAAATGGACCTCACAACCTCTGAGGATGCTTGCCATAGATGCAGGCGAAATGTCAGGAGAGAATGCTTCTAGAACATGGCCATATAGCCCGAAAAACCTACAAAAACCCAGTGATTCCGGCCATGAAAACCTTAGACAAGCCAAATGCTTTGAATACTAATAAAGTCATATATGCACAAATAAACACATCTTTCTCATGATTTCAGGGCAGGTTCAAATATTACTATTTTTTTAAAAAAAAATCTTCCCAAGACAGCATTTTACTCATTTTATGGAGTTTTTGCCAAATACACCTATCCAGACACATGCTATATCTGCATGCCAACAGAACCAGGGAAAAAAATGATATCCTGAAAGCTGCAGAGTCGGCAAAAAGCTTGATGTTGCTGCTGCTTTGTGTGGAGTATCATGGATTAGGAGGGCATGAGATTTCCTGGCAATCATATTTGGACAGAGTCAGTATTAACGTGGCACAAGAGAGACCAAGGTACCTTCAAGTTTTGTTTTACTCAAGGCCAATAAGAAAGCTCTACAGTTTGCAGGCAAATCTGCTTTCTTGGAGACAATGAACCAAGCGGACACAGCCCAACCCTCTCTGTCCCTTTCCCATCTACCTCAGGACTCACAGGATGAACCAGTTCAATTGTTTTTGTTTTGCCTTAGGATATATTCGCAGGAAGAAAGGTATAAATGCAGATAGCATCAGGGCCTCGCCTATAGAGGCCTCTCAGTAAGGTGTGCCTTATCTCTGTATTGGAAACGCCATGACATCCACTCTCTTATATGACCTGTGAAATGTTCTGTGGGTACTTCCCCCTAAACCGTGAATGCACAACATGGGAATAATAACAATGGCCTAAAGTAAAGGTAAATGTTTCCCCTTGACATTAAGTGTAGTTGTGTCCGACTCTTGGGGCTGGTGCTCATTTTGATTTCTAAGCCAAAGAGCCAGTGTTGTCCATAGATGCCTTCTAGGTCATGTGGCTGGCATGATTGCATGAAGCACTGTTACCTTCCCGCAGAAGTAGTATCTATTGATCTACTCACATTTGTATGTTTTTGAACTCCTAAGTTGGCAGAAGCTGGAGCTAACAGCAGGAGCTCACCCTGCCCCCTGAATTTGAACCGCTAACCTTTTGGTCAGCAACTTCAGCAGCTCAGCGGTTTAACCCACTGCTTTCAAGATTGTTTCATGATTTATTGGATCTAGATGATACACCTATACACTGGAATACTTCACAGAGAGTGTATCATTAAGAAGAATAAGCTAGAATTCTTATTTCTCTGTCATGTTGGGTTTCTAAATCGTGCAGTCCAAACTAAACCACATTTAGTTTGCTTGATTGCAAACAGCTCCCCTCCCCCATTAATGTATGTGACTTTCTTTGTATCCTGCGAACTCATTTCCAATGTAATATTTATTTATGACTATTCTCATTACGATTCTCATCCTGAGCTATTCATTATGTATATGCCCTACTTTCAAGGAGGATCCCATTCTGAAATAAAATCATGGGAGAAATATCCCAGAGCTCTGATCTGACCAGGTTACCAGAAAAGTATTTCAAGAAATAATGGAGTTGGTCACATTTTGTTAAGATTCAAGTCAACAAAGAGTTCAGGTGCAGGATGGAAGTTTACAATGAAGGGCCCAAGTTCCTAGTTCTTCCTGATTTAAGTTATCTCCAGATGAAAGCAAGGCAACAGTTAACACATACTAGAGGTCTGGCCAAAGTAGATCCCAATTGCGTGAAAAAAGTCAGGAGGCACGCTTGAGCCCTTCCACACAGCCATAAAACCAGAATATTGAGGCAGACAATCCCAAAATATCTGGTTTGTTATCTGAGTCCACCCTGCCATATATTCCAGTTCAAAGCAGAAAATCTGGGTTGTGGAAGGAGCCTGGGAAAAAGTTTGGAAAGTTTGACTATTCAGTATCAGGCAACCATTTTGGATGTTTGGATTAGTTATGAAACTGACAGACAAGGATATCTAAAAGTATGACATTCAATTTTTGTGGCTGTTGCTTTAATTCACTGCAAACATTACCCCAGGATGTTTTTTCCAGCTAAGAGTAGAATCCCGATTTTAACCATTCTGGATTTTCTCCCCATCCCTTGCCTTTTGCAAAAGAAATTAGTTTCGAGACCAAGAGTTAAATATCCCTCTCTGGAGAAGAAGAAAAAACCAAAGGAAGAAAAATTGGAAAGGGGAAGGGAACACATATAACTCAAATCCAAATCACAGGCTGATTAACAACCCACACGCTCCAGGAAGGGCCTGGGATAGMAATTAGGGAGGGCTTTAGGAAGAACAATAAGGTTTAGTTGGACAAGAAAGAGATATTTGGGGGGGGGGGGGGCAGAGGGAATTGCAAAATTTTGCATAGAGAGAAGGGTTGGTTTAATGACATACATAGGTATGGGAAACTGAAACATTTTCTTTTTAAAATGATCCATGTTGTACATTACAGYATGTTACGCACACAAAGTTCAGAAAGGACCCTCACYCCAAATATGGCCTGTTTCCCCACCACTACTATCCCATTCTCTGCTAGCTCACCCACCCACCCACTCACCCACAGAGAGGCTGTTCGCATATGTATATATAGAAAGATTAAAGGCTTGGTGTACTATTTAGTTAATTGGATTTTGTCGGAGACCTTATCAGAGGCTGGGAACTGAACACCCAGCTGGAAAGGAGGGGAGTTTACTTGGTGCAACTCCTCTCCCCTGTGTTTCCTTCCCCAGATTTGGATCAAATTCATACAAAAATCAATCTATGAAAACATAAACAACTCCTCTCTCCAATACAAGTCCTCTAATTGTTACCTAGATCAAACTAAACAGACCGTGGGACTGTTTGTCCACCACTGGGGAGTTGGGGGAAGGGACAACATATAAGAGAAAGCAATGGCATACTTGCACTGAGCATAGACAATATTAGAAGTTTGCACTGTTACAGACCCAGCTGAGAGTATTTTCAATATGGGCCAATGGCAAGGGAGAATTGCTGATAAATAAGGAGGGAGTATCCACCCACATAAACTTGAGCTGGACACCAGAGCATTGTGGAAAAAGTCCTTTCACCTACATATAAAAATATAAGTCACTTTTGTTTGTGGATTTTGCTATTTGTCACCATTCCCTTCACGAACCACTCGAAACGCAACCAACAGAATTGAAAATATTGCTCAATACTAACAGATTAAATGGGAATCCAAAGGTAAAAATTCTCACAGAGAATCTGAAAGCATTTGGGAGGAAGGGGAAAGGGAAGCCATGTGTCTCAACAGGGCATGGTTCTCCCCAAAGCAAAAATAAGAAAAGGACCCAACATGCAGTGCGCACCCCAATACGCATACAACCACAATACAAAAGCACCATTTTATAGCCCCAGCTCTCGATCCCAACCCTCCAATGCAAATCACAACAGGGTAGGCTTTGGGTCTCCCTAAACCAAAGATGACAGATCCCATCCTGCCAACCTCCACCCCACTCAATTACGGGGCAGCTCCTAATCTTTCTTAATAAGGTCACCTCAAAAGCTGGCAAGAGGGGAGCGAGGGCAACGAGGGTGTCACCCCAGCTGGGCCGGGCCCAGGAGGGGGATCGCATTATACGTACAGTGATTGGAACTGTTCCAATGCTGGTTACGGACAGGGGTGCTGTAAGGGTTAGGGTTTCCGGGTCCTTTGTCCTGGATCAAGCAGGCACGGTTCTGGTTGTAAAAATCCATCATGAAGAAGGGGTTAGGACTGTTGCTTAAACCAGCTACATCCACACTTTCGTACATCTTCTCCAGGCAGAACAAGAGGATAAGAAGGTTGGGGGCTTGTGGAGGGTGGAGGGGGATGGGAAGGAGGGAATCAAAGCAAAAGTTTGGTTTCTGAAGGATCGGAGAGCAGAATCCTATACTGGCGACGACGACGAATCCCAAAGAGACAAGGGGGAGGCTTTTTGTCGGTTGTTTTCTGTTTCCTGATCCTTCTCCCCCTCTCCGTCGCCTCTTGATCCCTAGCGGGGAAGTATTTAGGGAATCCAAACGCGGCTGGGGAATCCGCCAAACAGGCCGGGTTGGCCACCAGTGTCTTTGCTTCAAGTTAAAACACACACAAAAAACAAAACAAAAACAAAACCCAAAAGATAATATTCAAGTCTTCAATCTTCTATTCCAGACGCGTCCCTTGGGAAATAGGCCGGCCAATCCAAGCTGAGATGCTGTTTCCCGTTTCGAGACAAAATGTATTTATAAATCCCGAAAAGAAAAGAAAAAGAAGAGGAATGTTTTACTTTGAGAAAAAATAATAATAACAAAATCCACTCCGCCTTCCCAAAAACCAGAAGGAGACTCACTGGTGTTAGATAGCATTTTGGTCACATTTCCGCCTCCTGTTCAGTCCCATGGTTCTCTCTCCTTCTCCCAAACTAACAAGAGGAAAGAAAGGAAAGGGAGGGGAAGGAATATCCTTTCGCTTCAGTTTTTAAAAAAAGGGGGGGAGAAAAAGTTTCACACACACTCATACAAAAAAAGAAGTAAGGCTTCCTGGTAGAAATAAAAGAGCTTTTTCCTGTCCAGCAGATGACTGAATGTAATGCACCGAAAACTGTGCTCATGGGTTATGTACACACATATCTTAAAATTGCATCTCTGTCCCCTGCCAGAGAAAGAGAGGGAGGGAAAGGCGGAGGGGAGGGGAGGAGAGAAAGAGAAGAGATGAATGGTACAAATGTGTTGTCAGGTTTTGAATGCTTGAGAAGATGCCAAGGCCTGGAACCCCCCCTGAATCTCCTTGGATGCAGATTTCTTTTGGTCCTTCCTTCCTTCTCTCCCTGGGAAAGAGAGGGAAAGAGAGAATGTGTGGGTGCGTGCACGCCTCTGTGTGTGTGTGTGTGTGATGTACAGGACTGATAGATTAAAGGCAGCACAAAATCTTTCCTGACACGAAAAGTCGGCTCTGGACTGGCTTAACTCTTTCCTTACCTGCCACGTGCTGTGTCTTGCGCAGCCCCAACCAACTGCAGGAAAGCACAGGATGGGGGAGGAGGAAGAGGAGGAGGAGAGAAAGAGAGAGGAATGAATGAATGAAAGAAAGAAAAGGGGAGGAGGGACGGAGGAAGGGGGGGAAAAATGACAGCCATGGAAAAAAATGCCTCTCCAACAGCTGTCTCCAGCTACAAAGCTGCAGCGCCTGCATCTTCCTCGGGTGCTTTCCCCATCGCTGGAGCGGAGCAGCAGTGGCGGCTTCCTCGGTGAGGAGGACAAGCAGGAGGGCCCCCTCTTTTTTGTGTGGCAAGGAACCGGCCCGGGCGGCCCCTTTCTTCGCCTGCATCACCCCTCTCAGAAAGGGAGGTCTCTGCTGCTCCTCCAGCCGCCCCTCATTTGCGTAATGTTATGCAGCTGAACTCCGCCTGAACTCTCCTTGCAAAAAAGCTTCACCTCCAAATGACCCACTCACAGGCCTTCTCCTTCCCTGTGACATCACAGGGGCGCCCTCCTCCTCCTCCTCCTCTTTGCCTGCCAAGGGCTGCCACCGGCATGCCGCCGCTGCTGCTGCTGCGGCCAAACATCACCACACGGTCGAATCCAGACCCACCAGCCAAGGGAGATACCTGGTTATAGGGACCATGGAGCAGAGGCCAGCAAGGAAAGAGGGAGACAAAAACTGCTTAGATATGTTTATAACCAAAAAAAAAAAAAAAGTGGGATGTAGCCGGGCAACTGACATCTGTACACACATAGACAGACACCTCTGTCTAAGGATGGGGATTTGGATCCAAGATGAGTCAATGTATCTACAAGCTCACTAAGGCCAAGGTTTTACTAAGGACAATTAAGCCACACCGAGTCCCTCCGGGGAGAGACGGTGGGGTATAAATAAATTTATTTATTTCTGGTATTTCTACCCCGTCTCTTCTCTAACCCCGAAGGGGGGACTCAGGATGGCTTACATTTAGTAAGACACACACCTTTGTCTAAGGATGGGGATTTGGATCCAAGATGAGTCAATGTACCTACAAGCTCACTAAGGTCGAGGTTTTACTAAGGCCGAATAAGCCGCACCAAGTCCCTCCGGGGAGAGACGGTAGGGTATAAATAAATTTATTTATTTMTGGTATTTCTACCCYGTTTCTTCTCTAACCCCGAAGGGGAGACTCAGGACGGCTTACATTTAGTAAGACACATACCTCTGTCTAAGGATGGGGATTTGGATCCAAGATGAGTCAATGTACCTACAAACTCACTAAGGCCGAGGTTTTACTAAGGCCAGGTAAGCCGCACCGAGTCCCTCCGGGGAGAAACGGTGGGGTATAAATAAATTTATTTATTTMTGGTATTTCTACCCTGTCTCTTCTCTAACCCCGAAGGGGGGACTCCGAAGGGGGGACAGCTTTTACATTTAGTAAGACACACACCTCTGTCTAAGGATGGGGATTTGGATCCAAGATGAGTCAATGTACCTACAAACTCACTAAGGCCGAGGTTTTACTAAGGCCAAGTAAGCCGCACTGAGTCCCTCCGGGGAGAGACGGTGGGGTATAAATAAATTTATTTATTTCTGGTATTTCTTCCCCGTCTCTTCTCTAACCTCGAAGGGGGAACTCAGGACGGCTTACATTTAGTAAGACACACACCTCTGTCTAAGGATGGGGATTTGGATACAAGATGAGTCAATGTATCTACAAGCTCACTAAGGCCGAGTAAGCCACATCAAGTCCCTCTGGGGAGAGAGTGTGGGGTATAAATAAAGATTATTTATTTAGTTATTTCTGGTATTTCTACCCCGTCTCTTCTCTAACCCCGAAGGGGGGACTCAGGACAGCTTACATTTAGTAAAGATACAATGTCGCTACATAATCATTACAATAATATAACCACAATTAAATACATAAACAATCATTAAAACCAGTACATACAACATTAATTAAAACAGTAGAGCAATATCACAGTATCAATTCCAGTCAAAGTCCAACTAAAGTGCTCATTATGTCTGCTGCCCAAAAACCTGTCCACAAAACCATGATTTTAATTTTTTCCTGAAAGCCAGGAGGGATGGAGTCGATCTTCTATCATTTTGGGAGTATGTTCCATAGGCGGGGAGCCACCGCCGAGAAGGCCCGGTCTCTCATTCCTGCCAAATGCATTTGCGAAGTAGACGGAAGCAAGAGCAGGGCCTCCCCGGATGATCTTAGGTTACGAGATGGGACGTAGGGGCTCAATACAGTATGCATCCGGTGGCACAGTGGGTTAAAACTCTAAGCTGCTGAACTTGCTGACTGAAAGGTCGGCGGCTCAAATCTGGAGAGCAGGATGAGCTCCCGCTGTTAGCCTCAGCTTCTGCCAACCTACCAGTTTAGAAACATGCAAATGTGAGTAGATCAATAGGTAGCGCTTCAGTGGGAAGGTAACGATGCTCCATGCAGTTATGCCAGCCACATAGCCTTGGAGGCATCTGCAGACATTTCTAAGCTCTTCAGCTTAGAAATGGAGATGAGCACCACCCCCCACCCCTCCACCCCCCAGAGTTGGACACGACTAGACTTAATATGAAGGGGAAATCTCTCTCTCTCTCTCTCTCTCTATATATATATAAATGGATTATATCCCAATGTGATAAAGACCTGAGACACTGCAGCTGACACACCTACATATCGTGACACACAGTTTGGAAAGCTCTGCACTAAGAGTTGGAGAAACTAGAAGGCACCACAAGTATTTTGATCCATGACATCTTCTCAAAATCAAAACTGGATCAAAACATAGGTAGGCCATCAAACAAAAGAAGAAATGCAGAGGCAACTGACTCAATGAGTCTTTGATTAATCTAGATTTTACGTTTGCAAGTTTGACTTTTGTGGATATGATTCAAATGTTCTCTCTAGAAATCCCGAGATCCTCCAGGGAGTGAGTCTATGGTCAGCTTCCAACAGGAATTGACCACAGAGTTATGCTGGAGAGCCTTGAAATTCCTAGAGAAGTGTTCTCTCAGTTTTAATAACAGTATTTTTTATTCACGGGTTTTATTCATGGGGATCCTTACTGCCAGTGAATGTGGACGGCTGACTGTAGCAGATTGGGTTGTTGTAGGTTTTTTCGGGTTTTATGGCCATGGTCTAGAGGCATTCTCTCCTGACGTTTCACCTGCATCCTCAGAGGTAGTGAGGTCTGTTGGAACTAGGAAAAAGGGTTTATATATCTGTGGAATGACCAGGGTGGGACAAAGGACTCTTGTCTGTTGGAGCCAGGCATGAATGTTTCAACTGATCACCTTGATTAGCATTTGATGGCCTGGCAGTGCCTGGAGCAATCTTTTGTTGTAACAGGTTGGTTCACTTGTCTATCTAGATCACTCATGCTTTCCTTAATAGACAATGGCATTTCAGGGTTACAGAAAGGGTCACAGGAAGTCCTATCTGGAGATGCCAAGGACTGAACACTGGCTCCTCTGAGGGCACAACATGCATCCTGAGAAGTATAGGGCTCCCCTATCAGGAACATGGACCAAAAATATTGTGTGTCAACAATGAGTGAGAATTGAACTAAGTCTATTTTGCTAAGGTCAGCGGTTCGAATCCACGAGATGGGGTGAGCTCCCATCTGTCAGCCCCAGCTTCCCATTCTGGGATTTGAGAGAAGCCTCCCAGAGGATGGTAATACATCCGGGGGTCCCCTGGGCAACATCCTTGCAGACGGCCAATTCTCTCACACCAGAAGCGACTTGCAGTATTCTCAAGTTGCTTCTGACACGATAAAAAAAATACTATTTTGTACAAGGATCGAATTTAATATTGCTCACTGTAGTCAGTATCCCGAGGTTCCCTGATTTCACCCCCTCCCATTTTTAGAAGCATAAATGGAAAAAAAACAATTATATTTACTCCACAAACTTGGTAAAACAAATTGTGAAAGTACGTGGAATGGTTGGTAAAGGCAGAATGGGGCCTGTGTGAAACACGAAGAGACAGGAGATGTGTTTCATGCATCCTTTTGCTCCTCTCTCATGACTAGCCAAACCAAAAGAAATTAGACAAAGTAAGAAATTAAAATCATGTGTTTTATTTAAACCCTTTATAGATAGGGCCGCTTTTGAATTCATGGTGGAGAGTGCCCCACCGCTGTGTAACAATTGGCACAGATTCTGCAGAAACGTTCTGCAAACAGAACACGTCAGTGATATAGTCTTCACAGATAATTCTTACAACAACAGCAAAAGAAAGCATGTTAGCTTTGCATTCCAGGATCATGACTGAACCCTAGAAACAAGAGATGTTTGGACAGAAGGGGAAGGGCTTATGGAATTATAAATGAATTAAATGCCTTTACTCTGCATGCCATTTCATTCTTCTCTTTACTTTACTCTTGGGCTTCTATGGGCTTATTCGCCTATTTGAAAATACCTCAAATGTCACAAAATGCATGCTTCCTTCTCTCACTATACACAAGGTTGCGATGCCTTTCCCATTTCAGCTACATAATTCAGACCACACAAAGTGGGACTAATAAGAATCAAGGATAGTCAAGTGCAACATCAAATGCAACATAAATGCAGATGATTTATGCAAAGCCATGTGCTCTGGACAATACTTTCACATTCAACTCCTCAATTTCAGCCATTCTGCTCCAGAAATCAATTCCTTCCCATTGTTATCTATTGTCCTCCAGTCCTGAATAAGAGCAGAAATTATGGCAGGGACATAAAACCTTTGACCTTTGAGATGTTTAGAAGCTCAAATCTCCAGGAATGTAAGCCGGAATGGTCAATGGCATGAGATCATCATCTCACTCCACTGGACTGTAATCCAAAACATCTGGATGGTCAAAGACCTTCCATCCCCAAATGACAACATTCCTCTCTAGGAATTGTTCAAGAAGGTGAATAACTCACCAAGCAGCCATTAATCGAATTATACCTCAATTTTAACCCCTTAATTTTCTGAAAATTTCTATCCTCCATGCATCATCTTTAACAATAACAAAATATGGGGGAAAAGGTAAGATACATATCAAGATATGTGAACCAGGAAAGCGGACAAATAGTAGGCTGATCTGCAAAATGTCAACTTGAATA